TTATCAACTACTGGTATAGAGAGAGGTTTATCAACTACTGGTATAGACAAGATTTATAAACTACTGGTATAGACAAGATTTATCAACTACTGGTATAGAGAGACAAGATTTATCAACTACTGGTATAGACAAGATTTATTAACTACTGGTATAGACAAGATTTATCAACTACTGGTATAGACAAGATTTATCAACTACTGGTATAGACAAGATTTATCAACTACTGGTATAGAGAGAGGTTTATCAACTACTGGTATAGACAAGATTTATAAACTACTGGTATAGACAAGATTTATCAACTACTGGTATAGAGAGACAAGATTTATCAACTACTGGTATAGACAAGATTTATCAACCACTGGTATAGAGAGAGGTTTATCAACTACTGGTATAGAGAGAGGTTTATCAACTACTGGTATAGAGAGAGGTTTATCAACTACTGGTATAGACAAGATTTATAAACTACTGGTATAGACAAGATTTATCAACTACTGGTATAGAGAGACAAGATTTATCAACTACTGGTATAGACAAGATTTATCAACCACTGGTATAGAGAGAGGTTTATCAACTACTGGTATAGAGAGAGGTTTATCAACTACTGGTATAGAGAGAAGATTTCTCAACTACTGCGGCAGGAAGACTAAGGACAATTTGTGATGCAGACACACGTCAAAGTTCGGACCCGTGGAGATATTGGAAAAACCTTACAGCCTGTTCGTGGGCCTCGCTTGTAATGGACAACTACAAAACTACCCATCTATGTTCAGAGAGACTGTACCGTCAACTTCCTGCTCACCCCAAGGTCACGGTATAACGAGGTTTGACTGTATGAGCGACGGACAGAGGTCAAGGTAACTCGATGTTAGCAGCAAAATTAGCAAGAAGATAGCCGCCTAAGACTGATGACTTCCAAAGCGGAAGTGGACTTGAAAACTGCCAATTTCAGTAGTGTTTTGTTTAGCTACATGGCCACAGAAGTGGAAGGTGTTGAGCCTCAAACAAAAATGTCCACAAAAGTTTCCCAACACGCGGACAAATTTCGGTTCTTCAATTTCCGTATTTTGACGGGCGCCTGGCTCCACCTCAATGCCACTCATTTGTGACAAGTTAGCTAGTAATGACAGAGAGATCATTTGTCCGCTACTGATAGGAATAAGACAGAGAACTTACATCACACACATACAAAACTATCATACATCTACCATCACACCCATAACAAATTATCACACACATACCATCACACCCATAACAAACTATCACACACATACCATCACACCCATAACAAACTATCACACACATACCATCACACCCATAACAAACTATCACACACATAC